GAAACTCTCTTCCCCCCCCCCGACAGGCCTGAATACACAATGGGGGGTTGTGGCATCCCTGCTAAGTGCACTGATCTGATAGGAGGGCAACAGAGACCCAGAGACACTACCTTTTGTTCAGGCTAAACAAAGGATGCAAAGCATTCAGACGGAGCCAGTTGCCCCATGAAAAGATCAGGTCACAGCCTGGTGTTATTTGAAAAGGGGGCACCTCTTTAAACAGGATGAGAGGATGATGTAAGCCTTAGTGGCTGTCAGGCCTGGGCCGTACAGCTGGTCGAAATGGAGGGAACTTTTGAAAAATTCAATTCAGACTTCAGCTGAATGGGGGTTGGGCTGGGAGTCTGCCTGCCTGCCAAAGCTCCTCGTATAGTGACATCTGTTTCGTAAGAGAGGTTTGAATAATATCAGCGAAAAATGATACTCACCGATAAATTCGATAGCTTCATTGAACCAGGAACTGATGTTGGCTTTGTGGTTGTCCTCAACAGGAATACTCTTGTACTGATAGTGGTCTTCAAAGTGGTTGGGGCAATTGGAAGAGACGTTAATAAGGGCTGTGATTCCCAACATGTCCAGCATGTCTTTTCTGGCGGCGTGATAAGCACTGCCTAAATATAGGAACGGCAAGATTTCAACAGGGCCACCCTAAAGAAAAAAACAAAGAAAATTAGTGGACAAGTTCACTTGCAATGAGTCAAAATCACTCTTATTTATAGCACAGCTGCTTATTTAAAGAATATGTATAGGTTACCTGATCATACAGAGGGGTTGCACATGAGTTACAGGAGGAATCAGCAGGGTTTGAGTGGTGGCTAGAGCTCAGAGATAAACTCAAGCCTTGTGGGGGAACTGGCTTTGTACACATTTCAGGAAACTCAGAGGAAAATGTCTCGAATCCACCTAAAAAGAGTCAAATAGAAACCATTATTTTTAACAAAAGTGGAATGTACAAGTGTCTAGTAGTTGACAACAGCTGAAGAAAACATTTGGTCGCACTTTTAAATACACAACCACTCACAGTACACGAGTTCAAACCTTATACTAGTAATGGTATTATAACAAAATAGCCCAAATTATAGTTTAAGAAGAATCTTTTCGTACCTTTAAGAAGGAATACACTTGCTCCACATGGATTGCGACACAACGCGTTCACGGCGAGCATTAAAGTCCCGTCTTTCTTCACTTCTCCTATCTCCAGACTGCGGTCATCCAGGAACACAACACTCTGGTATTCCCCGGACAGAAGCCTGTTCCTGGTGTCCTCGTTGGGTACAATGTGCTCCAGTCCCAGGCCCCCTCTGGCCCTCCGGCGTACTATAGTACTGAAGCGCACATTACTGGAGCCCGATATATGAGACGAGCTGAAGGAGAAAAACGAGCGACAGTCCAGAACCAGACAGTCCGGATCATCTCCCTCCAGCAGATCACGAAGCGAGGCCGAGTCGATGGTGGACACTTCCATGATGACCATAGTAGAGAATGCAGCGAGATAAACGAGACGAGACGGCGAGCTTGAAAAGTTTTCTCTAAAGTCCTTTGTTCGAGAGTCTGACCCGATAATAGTCCGTTGAGCGGCGCTGAAATTTGAATCCCACGCTACTTCGTTTCTTGTCGTTCTTGTTCTGCTCCGAAAGGCGCTGCGCGGCGGTTATATACTACTGACCTCCCCTGCTTTCGTTGAGAAGGATGACGTCGAAAGCTCCGCCTTTCTTGGCCCATGGCCCGCGTGAATTCGCACGTACGTCAGTGTGATTGAGTTTGGCTAACCAAGCCCACATTATCAGATCCTGTTAAAGCCGGTCGACCTCTAGACCAAGAGACTGGTAATCTAGTCCAGTTTCCGAGTGGTGTCACTAAATTTGAATGTTAGTATTGATGGTGACGGCTATTGATGTTGTTTTGTTGTTGGGATGATGGTTTAGGGGCTTTGTGACAAAATAGTTTTCCTCAGAAATTGATCTTCGATTTTAGACCCATTTGTCAGCCAGGTCGATGTTTGGCCATTTTGAGATTATCAGCATTGGCCAATGTTTTGGCAGATTAACACATTTGGTAGTTCCCTCTCATGTCAGTTCCAAACAGGGTAGGGTATTTTATGTAAGGGTCTACATAAACTTGTTTTAAAATATGTTCCAAATTGTTTTGGATATATGCTACACATATGCAGGTTTAAAAGGATGGAATTTTAAAATACAGAGGAAGAATATGGGCGCATAATAAAGAATAAGCTTAAGTGTCCCACTTTACCGGTATTCGACAAACAGAATTTGCTCAAAAATGTTTGAGATCATATTGAGATCTCAGATTACTGGGGAGTTTTTCTGAGAAGAAAAATCTGAGAAGCACGAGACTAAAGTAACATTCTAATCTCTTCATTTCATTTCGTTGTTGACTTTAGGGAAACAATCAAGATATTGATTGAATATCTCAATTATTTATTTATTTATGTGAGGTTAGCAGCCTAACGCTTCATCATGTATGAAATTCAATAACAATAATACAATAATAATTGTCAAAAATGAAAGAATGTTTAAGCTATAATATTTCCATGATATTATTGTTTTATGTGATTTTGTAAAAACGTTTCTCGTCAGATAAATAACTAGATAATTAGTGAACCTATCATTGTACTCATAAAAGTTTATACTTTGTTTTTATTGTACAGGAGTACATATTGTGCAATTCCACGAGAGCAAAGGGAAACCATAAAAGTTAATCACTGTATAGAAACTTGAGGTCTAGTAAATTTCCATCAGCTTGAAACACAAACCAAGCTCTATATGAGGCCATGGTGTAGACCTATATTTTCAAGATAATCATCGTGTTTTGATCAAAAGGTCAGTGTACTTGGTACTGTAACTAGTTTGTCAGAGTTTGAATATTTTACAAGGTACATCCATTACAAGTAATTGTCAAATTATTTGTTTTTTTCCTGTAATGGGATGTTTTGCTGGTTAACCTGCTACCATACCACATTCCTCACAGCAGTGATGAAAAATGTGTTGCTATGGAATTGGAGTGCAGTGTATTCAAGTTTGTTCAGTGGGTCGGTTTAGACATTTTTCATCAAAAATATGCAAATCAAATGCTTGTAGCTATATCAGTGAATATATGCTTTAATTAAAAGTGTTATAATTTGTTAATCACTGCTATGTTACTTAATAATAATAATAATGAAAAAACAACAGCAACAACAACAGTACTCGTATAGTTTACATAAGGTTTTTCTTTTCTGGTCTTATATTTACCAAACTTCTCATAGCAGGGAAGCGGAATGACCACTGATGCTTTGTGATCCTTCTAATCCTATATATTTCATCATGTCATATTCACTTCTAAAACTTTAATTTGATCATATTTTATTTCAATGTGACAGCCACAATACTTTACAAGAAGCAAAATGGCATATGTAGGTCATGACGTCAGTACTGCATTTCTAAACTTGAGTCAGAACTTGTGGAGGATTTCTGTCCAAATCATTTCTGGGGTTGTCGTACAGAAAAAGCAAGTAACAGTATTACTGTTAAAAAACTGATGAGTCAGCAGAGAAATGCAAGCCACCAGATGAGACTGTAATGCCCCAGGAAGAACATTGTGTACTGCATTATGCGTAAGTTACAAACTAGTTTGCATGCATGAGAATGGCACAGCATTGTTCATACTAATATTTAACTTTGAAAATGTTCTCTGATATATGCTTTACATAAGCAATTATTATTTATATCTATAATCTGAAAATCATAAAAGTACATTCAAAAAATTACAGTAACATTTAAGATTAGCCTGCTCTCTTCTACAAAAAAACACAGACACACAAAAAAGAATGACACTCAATTCATCAAAAATAAAAATGAAGCACTTTAAATTCTGTGAATCAAATCTTAAGAACAGGAACGTGAGCTATGTAAAATCATTTAAAACATATATTTCAGGGATTACTCACACTTGCATGTTCTGATTGTTAGAAAGGGAAGTGAAATAGTGTGACAAATGAGGCATTTCCTTGGTGTAGCAAATAGAATATACCAATGTCATCACAGACCATTTACGGACAGAGGTGCCTCTGGGCAACAGTTGTTAGGCCTGGGAAAATACTCTGTATGTCCTTTTGCCTCTTTTCCATAAATCATTTATAGTAATTTTTGCCGATTCTGTATTAATATCTGACAACTGAAATTTCTAGAATGCACCCAGAAATGACATAGTGAAACACACTGCATGATGCACCACATCATTCAGCTGCAACTACTACATAGTTGGGTAAATATGTACAATGTATACCGTATAAAAACTGAAATCTAAGGATCTCGTAATATCTTATGTGTGTGTTTGTTTTTTTACTAGTTCAGCTTTCCAGTATTTCATTGGCTAGAAACTGCTCTTTGTATGTGCTTGATACTGATTGTGGTCAGGACTCAGTTCCCATTCTGAAATATGCAATTTCTTCTTTTTGAGCCATTGCTGTTGATTCACCCATGTGTCTAGAATCACTGTTATATTGTATGAAACTTGCGTTTCAGCTCACAGACAGAATGTTGTAACAGAACAAGGCTGTAAATTCATATACTTTTGACATCAATTGCAAAAAGAATTGGTTTTATGTAGACATGACAATGTAAAGTGACTAATTATCTAAGCCTATTATTATTAAATAAAGGTCAGTTTTCAGACAAGTTAAGCAGAATTCCAATAGGTTGTCATTATGACACATCTTTATTCTCAGATTACACTGACACAGATACTGGAAGAACACGGCAGAGCCACGTTTAGGTTTTTTGTTGTTGTAGAAATAGTTTTAGACTGTTGGACCACATAAACGGAAGCAAAAGCAGCGAAATAAACTTGGACCTGAATCACCATATGAATCACCATAGGCAACGCGTTAAGTTTGCATGCCAAAAAAAAAAAAAAAAAAGATTGCATGACACAACCGGAAACAGAATCACGCTGCTCGCTCCCCTCCGACCAATAGGATTGTGCAAAGCGTCCTAAGCGAATGTCACATCCGGTCTGAACAGCCGGCAGGATTGAAGGAAGAATCTGGAGTATCCCCCTACTTGTGTCGTTTATCTTTAAACACTTTTGACTTGATTTATTCGTCCTTTCACACAATGACTTTCGATGTGCGGAGGTGAGTAGAGGTTTGAAGCGAGTTGGTCGTGGGCTTTTGTTTTTTCTTTAGTGCATGAATCAAACACGTCCACCATAGACACAATGGAAGTGTTTCAAAACCTAGTGAGCTACCTACCTAGTATTTTTCTTTTTTATTGGACGTTCGGAACGCGTCTATCATGCACTAAACTGCTGTCTAAGCTGCTCACTAGGTTTTAAGACAGCCAGCAATTCCTTAAACTACAACAGATTGCCCAGCTTGTATTGTGAAAACACTTTTACAACCATTTATTTTTTGTCTGAATGTTCTGTAAACCTCATTTAAGAGCATCAGACCGCTCTTGATAAATATGAATGAAAAACTGAGCAGGATGCTGTCAGCAGCTCTTGGCAAAACTGCATGGAGCATTTCATTTAGCTGCAGGTGAAAATTTGTAGATATGCATGTCGCATCCTAAAGGACACATAAAAAGTTGTGTTCTAAGCAAGAATTAGGTCAGTTTTGCGTAAGACATAACATTTAATATTGGTGTTGCATAGTCGTCCACTTGTTTGAATGTTTGCTTTATTTTTTAAGCATGCTAAGTTCCTGCTCATACTGGTTACACTGCATGGTTATGCAAATACAAAACAGGACCCACAACATGTAAAAATGACATTCATATATCACATCATGAGTTCTACTGCTATTTGGAAACCAAATAATTTTCTATGAAAGAGCATATTCACATTGAATCTGTAACTGAATAGGTTGGTGGCTTGTATAACTTGGTTGTACATTTGCAGAGACACATTAGGCACTGTCTGCTATTATCCACACTGAATCAATAAAACATGTCTGTAGGTCGGAATGCACACAATACTTGCTTTTACTTGTATTTTTAATGTAATTGTTATTATCCATGACAAAAAGTTGGTGCTATGTGGCTTGCATAGCCGACTATGGAGGACAAATCAAGACAAACAATGATTGATTAATTTGCTGAAGACTGATTTCTAGAAATTTTGTACCATTAACGTTTTTTAAAAAGAAATTCTTATGCTCAAAAACAGTAAAAAAAAAAAACTTAAATTTATTGCTGTGATAAAAACGGAATCTTCAGTGTCACATGATCCTTCAAAAATCATTCTAATATGCTGATTTGCTGCTCAAAACATTTCTTATTATTATCTGTGTTGCTATTATCAGCCGTGATGCATTTTTCAGGTTTCTTTGATGAATCGAATGTTCAAAAGAACAGCATTTATTTGAAACAGAAATGTTTTGTGACATTTTAAGTTACTGTAACTTTTAATCGATTTCATGCATCCTTGCAGAATAAAAGTATTCTGAGTATTTGTTTACAAAAAATTCTTACTGACTCCAAACTTTTGAATGGGTGTGTGCTAAATTTGAAGTGTAGGCTAATTTACTAGTTTAATAGTGTTTTTGCCGGAATGTAATGTAATGTAATCCAACTTAATGACACGAAGGTATCGATACTAATTTTGAGTTATTAATGTGTAATTAGATGTGAAATTAATTATTATATGTTCTCCAAATAAAGTAACAAAAGTAGTTATAAAAATAGTAGTACATCACTATAAAGGTCTTGTTTGTCTTGAGACTCTTAATGTGTCAGATGACTGTAGACAGATTGTGAATGAAATGAATTGTAAATATCGGTGGAAGCAGGCGCCAGCATATTTCCTGTCTTTGTTTGCACTGAAAGTTTTAAGACTGTTTTGGTCAGGGTAACGTTTAAACATTTTTTTCCCCATCTATTTAGATGTTTAACGTCCAGCGTTTTGGTCTTTGGCTTGCGTTACTGGTGTAAAACAGTGACAGTTACACACAGAATGTGCATATTTAGGGTTGTGGGTGTTGCTATTACATAATAATACTTAGGTGCTAAGGTGTCAACACAACCTTATTTCCTTGTTTCCAATCATGCTTCATTTTAGCTCATCTGTAGACGAATCTGATACAACCAATGAAAGTGACAAAGAGGCCTGAAATAAAACAATTAGCTCTTTATATAGCAGACATGACTTCCTCTTTAAAAACACACAGAGAATGGGCTGTTTGCCTGAGAATAGACTCATAAACCTCCTGCTGTGGAACACACCATTATACCACAGTTCATTCCAGTCAACTGATTTTACTATTATACAGCTGGCTTGTACACCTGCAACAACTAATCAATAAAATCTATAATAATCGATTAACTACAACAAATTTGATAATGACTTAATCGTGTGTGAGTTCAGTTGAACGAGCATTGGTGTGTTCACATAAAACACACGGAGCACATAGAACAGAAGTGCAATAATTCTATCTAAAATATACATGTAGCAATTTTTTCTTGTTAGGTTTATAATTCTACATGTAAAAAGTTATTGGATGTTTGGTGGACAACTTTGAGCTGGATAGGGAATTATTGTAAATAATGGCTTAAAATTAAATCATTTTCAACAGTTAATCATTGTGGCTTTTTCATCCAGCTAATAAATAGAAAATCGTTAATTACTCTATTAAATTTAACAGCACTTGAATGTTTTACTGTTTGTACTGTTTGTGTTTACCACACAGGCCATAATTGATCCCTGCTTTGGAATTGTTTTCATAGACAGAACAAAAAGAATGTAAAAAGCTCACCACATTGTGTACATGATTGTGATGTTGCAAAATGAATTATATGATGTTGCAGTTATGGAGGGCATCATTACAGTTTTAATGTGTGGATTGGATTCAAATGTATTTTATTGTATATTTATTGTAAGAGTTCACATGTATGCTGGAAATGTGTTGCTGCAATTTTAACTTTCCACTCGAAGTCCATCCATTTAGGAATTCTTCATAATTTTAGTTTTCATCGTTAGTTTTTATTCATGTGTTGGCACTAGAGGCCGACCGATATATCGTTTTGCCGATATTATCGGCCGATAAGAGCCTGTCGCCGATATATCGGTATCGGCGAATATGCCGCCGATCCAGCACCAACCGATCTAGCGATCCCGGGGGGCTACCGACGCGCGGAGGGTGGCGTTCGAGAGGACTCCTCGAGCTGACGGGGTACCCCGAATTTGGTGGAGATCCGCCGGAGCGTTCGCGAGATAGTGACACCAGTCAACACTTTCACTTCAGTAAGAGGTCTCTTGTTCAGGCAGCATTCAAGCGTGGTCTTATTCGACCGTAAGTGCCCCGCGGAGTGGACTTCACATGATATTCCGCCATGATTCCAGTTCCAAGGGAACGTACACGTTGCATTCAAAGTGCATTAAAATTATCGTATCGGCCCCAAAAAACCCATATCGGTCGGGCTCTAGTTGGCACAATGTATATTTGTCTGCGAAATGCTTTTAGTAGAAGCCTTAAGATAAAATGGGTTTCAAGACAATGAAATGGTAAATTCAGCCATGTGTTTTCAAATTTTTGACTGTTAACGTATTTACACTATCCATTTAGAATTCAGTGTAAATATTCTGGTCTTAAGTAACTAAAAATTGCACAGTATTATTTGATAAAAATGTTCCTTTGTCACTGTGGTACAGTCTTGTGCCTGTTAATATTGGCACGTATGAGCCCTTCGGCGTATGCTGACTTTTTGACTCTCAGAGCAGCTGTGGGTGTTTGTTGCTGTTGTAATTCAGGAAATAAGAAATATCTGACAGATCCAAGAAGTGAACTCTTCAACAGCCTTGGGGAACGTGTAAATGTGACGCCTGTTATGCAACGCATTGAAAATGGTGTCTGTTCTGCCTAATCCACGTTTTTGTGTGTCTACTGAAAACACTTTTGTGTGTTGTTGCATTTTTTCCTTACATATTTTCTGCTTTACAAGTAAAGAGATAAACAGACTGAAAAGGTTTTGCATGCTAGACATTGCTATTAGCTGTAGTTTGAGTTTGACTTTTCTGTGCATTTTCAAAATCCCTGTTTTCAGTTGTGGTGATATCTGTTTTTGAGATAATCCAACCCGATCTAATAAGAAAATGTAACTCTTTTACGCGGTGGTTAATTTGTATAAATTCATACAATGATGTTCAGGATACCAGCATTTCTTGTCCTTTGTGTGGTGTTTGGTCCAGAAAGTTCATTAGCCCTAAATGAATGAGTGAATACAGACAGATTTATATCAAACTACAGTTAATGAAAGTGCTGTTCAGTTAATTAACTATAGTCATATGAGTATGGTTTAAATAGCTAGAAAGTGAGCAGTCCCATACAGTATCTCTATAAAGCATTTTAACAACGAATATGATTTTTTTTTTCCATTAGACACAAAATATCAAATCTACTTTGGGGCCTACTTTGGTATATTCATCAGTCTCGCTTACCAAATCAGGTCTTACACAGTATGAAGACATCAACTAGAGATGTCAGTGGTTTAGGAACAGCGTGTCCTTCTCCTGAGTTTCACACAATGGGGTTCCTTTCTTCACCCTCTGAGCTCTTCTGTCAGAACACAGTGAACTATATGGTTCCTGTCGTGGGAGGAGGGGTATAGCAGAGAAACACAGGGCATGTGGTTTAACAGGAAGTCAGCCCCCCTCCCCCCTCCAGCATTGCGTCAGCTTGGGTCATTTCACTGCAAGAAATGTTCACAGATGTAAGTGTTTTTGAGGGCAGGTGGCGTAAAGGGTTGGACCAGAGTTCTGATGTAGTTGTGAAGGTTTCAAAGCCGAAAAAGGGCACAAGACTCTGAGCTGGATAGTTTTGCTTTGGAGCTAACACAGTTTGAGAGCTCCTTAAAAAGTCAGGGATTGGACGCATTACGCATGGACTCGTGGAGAGTTTACTTTTTTCTTGGTGTCGTCTCAAACGAACCGAGGATTGTTGTTTCTTTTCTGTTAATAAACATAACTTTGACAATTTGTTGTATAGTAACTGTTTTCCTTATTTAATAGAATTGCAAATATCGTATAATAATCATGTATTGCTTCATTGTTCTCTATACTGTATTTTATTCGAAGAAGGGCCATTAGTTTTTAAGGCATTCTAAGAGCATGGTGTATTTTTAATGACAGATGCAGATGTTTTTCAGTGCGGTACAGTGGAAATGCATATTACGTGAAGAATTAATCTGATCAAATGAGAAGTACGCTGCAAAAATGTTTTATTCTTGACCAGTGTCTAGGCAAATCATAAATCTGTATTTTACATAGTCATATTTCTCTCAAATTAAAAAAAAAAGTATTCTTCAAGACTATAAAGAGGTTTTGTTATATTTAGGGATGCACATATCCGATATGCCGATAATTTTCAACTCATTTTGGCCGATAGCAGATGCCGATACGGATATATATCGGCATCTGCTCTGGGTGTGTGTTCACGGTGTGTGTGTGCACTTAGGATGGGTTAAACGCAGAGCACTAATTCCTAGTATGGGTAACCATACTTGGCCACATGTCACGTCACTTTCACTTTTCATATAATTATTTTTAATTTTGCTTAGTTTTTAACAAGAACTTATTTGTTAGAATTAAATAAACAATAATAAAGTTATTTTATAATGACAGTACATTGACGATTTGAAAATAACTATAAATAAACTATATATTAATCACTGCATTTTTTTTAGAAAGATGCAGTAGTAACCTTAACATTTTATTTTAAGATTTAACATTTGTAAATGGTCTAAAGCAAAAGAGTTGTAAAAATTCTGAAAATCTTTTAGAGCTCATAATTTGTTTAAAAAATATAACATATTACACATTAATGAATAGATCAGTATATATAACATTATTTAATTTAAGTGTCATGTTTGTGATTTTTTTTTTCCTGTAAGCTATAGCTTCTGACCTTTAAATCAAAACATACTCATGATTTTATGGCATCAATTACTGCTTTATTTAATCAGAAACAGTCTAAATATTATTTGTGTGTTTTGCTTTCATTTTATTAGAAGTAGGCCAACAGTAGAGGTCGATCGATTGATCGGCCGATTTTTGGCATTTTTTAATTAATCTGCATCGGCCGATTGTGCTGCAAATTAGGCCGATTTATAGGGAGGCGCATCTGCGGGCAGCTAAGCGTTGTTGCGGAACACCGGAGAATCTCTCTCTGGCTGCGTGAGAGACGGAGCAACTCACACTCTGCAGCTTTTAAATTAATCGGCATCGGCCGATTGTGCTGCAAATTAGGCCGATATATAAGCAGGCGCATCTGCGGGCAGCTAAGCGTTGTTGCGGAACTCCCTCTGAGGCTGCGTGAGACGGAGCAGATCACAGACTCTGCAGCCGCGGCTTGTTCACACAGCTTCAGCTAATGATGGCAGGGCAAAACAGACCGTTTCGAAAGCGGAATTACATTTTACCCTACTAGAATTGATGCCGGAACGTTATCATATTCATAAGTGCAAGTCATTTGCATGCACGATAACTTTCCTCATGAAATGTGTGTGCGGGTCCGACAATAGCTTCCACGATGTCATCGCTCGTGGCCAGCGCACTCTTAAAGGGGTGGTTGATTGCGATTTCACTTTTTTAATGTTAGTTAGTGTGTAATGTTGCTGTTTGATCGTAAACAATATCTTCAAAGTTAAGAAGCTGAAAGTTCAATGCAAACGGAGATATCGTCTTTTAAAATTCTGGCAGTTTAATGCCTACAAAAACGGCTGGTAGGGACTACAACGAGTTACTTCCCGGGTCCGTTACATCAAGAACCCAGAATTTTACATAAACCCCGCCCCCGGGAACACGCAGCAAAGGGGGCAGGGCCATGCTGCACTGCTTTAGAGAAGAGGAAGAGAAAACTAGGGGTGCACGTAATAATCTATTCATATATGAATCGCGATTCTGTCTTCTAACGATTCTAATGGATTCACAAGTTTCAAAATCAATGTTCTAAAGCAGCATTCTCATCCTGTTCCTGGCCTCGCCCTGCTCTGCACA